TGCACAACTGTAATATCAATAGATCTTTCCTAAGCTTAGGGCAGTGACTGTATTAGGTAGGTATCTATATATTTAATATCCTAAGGCTTTTTTTGTCCTCCTTCAGTTTGTACAGTTTGTCCTAATTCGATCTCGGAAACTACTGGACCGATTTTCCTCGGATTTGTTTTAAATGAAAGCTCTTAGGCTGTAAATGTGCCAGCACCCCTTGATTTTTCGATTTACGCGACCGATGTTGCAAAATCTACCTCGATTTGATAACGACATATTTGCGTTTTGCCTCTGGACAGTTTGTCCTAATTCAATCTCGGAAACTACTGGACCGATTTTCCTCGGATTTGTTTTAAATGAAAGCGCATAGGCTGTAGATGTGCCAGCAGCCCTTGCTTTTTGATTAACGTGACCGATGTTGCAAAATTTAGCTCGATTTGATGACGAAATATTTGCGTTTTTGACGCTGGACGAGTCATATGGTTGGAGAACCTCCCACCCTCTGATTTTCCGTTTCCCTTTGCACGTAAACCCATCCCTACCTGCTCACAACACGTGTCACCCTTCTACCCTGGCATGGGTCCTATGGCAGTATCACTCCCTTCCATATGCTGTCTGACTCGGGACACCTGCTACGCATTTCCTTGGTCGCATTGCTCATAATGCGTTCTCGGTTTGTCCGTGTTTCTTATCAGTACATCGAGAGTTTTCCTTTCTTGATTTCGTCTTCAGTTTTTTTTACGTGAAAATTACTTAATTTTGATGTGTTTTTTTCAGAAGATAATTTTCCTTTTTACGGCAGCATAGATTTTATTAATAATTAACTTCTTTACAGCAGCCTATGTATTCTTCCAAGAGAATCCGCGATTAATCTTCACCCTTTCGCACCGTTAAATTTTCACAAAGTGTTTTGACTTTCTTTTACAGGAGTGTTTTTTATTTTTTAAGGATGTTTCTTTTTGTAGAAGTAGGTGGTTATTATTATGGTTTCTTATTCTTTGTTCTCAAATTTATCATTTTGCCATACGGAAGTCCTCTAATTACTTGTAGTAGCAAAATTTGGCTCGCTTCGCGAGCAAACAGTCACTCGCGGGGCGAATGACTGGGGGTCCAGGGGGCTTGCCCCCGGCTAGCGGCGCAAGCAAGCGTAGCGAGCTGAAGCAGCTAGTTATTTTTAATTATGTGACCGGCTGTGAACATAGTGGTTTATGTAGATTTAATTTTAATTTTTTTTAACAACTCTTTTACAATCTTTTTTAAATTTTGAACACATTTTTGAGATTTTAACCATTTTTTTTCGATTTTAACACCTAATTTTTACCTTTATACGATTTTCACACCTTTTTTAAAAATGTTTATGACCCCTCAAATTTTAGCAATTTTAAAAGGATCTAGCTTTAAAAGACTTGGCTACGACGACTTTCAATGAGTTTATTTCCACAAACGTATTTTTGTGAGAAAAGTACAAAATAATAACAATAATAACATCGATTCGGCGTCATAGAATCGGCTCAAACCACCCAGAGCAGAAGGTGGGGGAAGCCTTACAGATTTCAACGTACTACTACTACTAGTAAAACAAGTTGAAAACCTCCGAGTCGTTTTCTACAGGAAACAGCAAGATTCGCCACTGCACGAAGCAGTAGTGCCTGCGGATCAAGAGCTCACCACTCTCAACCTACAAAACAACGAACATAGACCACTAAATAATGCTAAACGCACGCAAGGAAAGCAACGTGAATGGATCCAGAAGGAGCTCCACGGCAGACATCCCAACGATCCTCAGCAAAGTTATGTCAATAAAGATGCATCGAACTCATGGCTAAAAAAATGGGACCTGTTTGGAGATACCGAGGGATTCACGACCGCGATACAAGATCAAGTCGTCTGCACGAGAAATCACGCCAAATATATTATCAAAGACCCGAATGTAACCGATGACACCTGCAGGAAATGCTGTAAGTCACCTGAAACAAGACAACATGTTACCGGAGCCTGTTCAGCCATGGCACAATCGGACTACCTTCAGAGGCACAACCAAGTCTGCAACATTCTACACCAAAACCTAGACATGAAATACAAGCTTATCAATAGGGAAACGCCGTATTATAAATATACTGCAGAAGATGTACTAGAAAACGATAAATGTAAGCTCTATTACGATCGGACGGTAATCACGGATAAGACCACCCCACATCCCTGCTAAAAATGACCATGTTGGTAACAAGTTGGTCTGGCCCAACATGGTAGCAACAGGGTGAATGGAACTTGTTATCATATATGATATCAACATGCTATCACAATGATATCAACATGTTACCAATATGATATCACACACTGAAAAAAAGTTCCAAAATGCCAAAATGCTAAAATTTAGGCGCGCTGCACGTTCTTAGGCTTAATTTTCATTGCGGTCACCAGAGAAATGACGCTGAGAGAACCGGACAGTCAATGTTCGCCAGAAATAAGCCGCGCTGCGCCCGAGTTCCCAAGCGGTCACCCATCGAAGTACTAACTACGCCCGACGTTGCTGAACTTCGGTGATCGCCCGAGTGTAGCTGCCACTCTGCGACGGACGCTCGAGAGGGGGAGGTGGCTAATTTAGCACTAATAAACGTCCCCAGATCTGGTTCAATGATTAGAAGCAATGATATTCTTGCAATTCTGTACATCATTCAGTTTCACAATGAAGGATACGAAAATAATATTAAGTAGATCAAGTTTTTGAAGAAGAGGAGTACGAACAATACAAAACGAGTTATATACAGTACAAGGATATGTATTATCGAATGAAATACATGCAAATATAGCAAAAAAATCAACAATAAGTAATCTATCAAGCTTCGAAAAATGGCATAAAATTTTAGGTCACATTAATTTTAATGATTTATACTTAATGAGCAATTTAAATTTAGCCGATGGACTCCCGAAACTCCAGAAGACCTTCACGAGATGTGAAACTTGCATTAAAGCTAAAATGAATAATCTCAAGTACCGAGATTCAAGATCTAGAGCCAATGATATCCTGGAAATTGTGCATTCTGACTTAATAGGACCATTACCAGCAGGTGTAAGTAATGGCAAGTATATTGTTAGCTTTATTGATGATTTCTCAAAATTTGCTGTTTCATTTTGTATCCCTAGCAAAGATCAAGTAATAAATACCTTCATAGAATATACTAATTTTGTAGAAAATATAACCGGTAAATTCATCAAAGTTCTTCGCTGTGATAACGGAACAGAATATATTAATAAAAACTTCTCGAATTTTGTAAAAAGTAAGGGAATTTATTTACAACCTTGCCCACCGTATTGTCATCAATTAAACGGTGTGGCAGAGAGGTTTAATAGGACTATTATGGATAAAGTAAGATGTCTTTTGTTAGAAGCCAATTTATCAAATTACTTTTGGCCATATTGTGTTAAAACAGCAGTGTATTTACATAACAGGGCATTAGCTAATACGAAATTGTGTAAAACACCGTACGAAATTTTTATGAATAAAAGGCCAAATTTTTCAAATTTAAAGCCCTTTGGAACCAAAGTTTTTGTAAGAATTCCAGATGAAAAACGTCAGAACAAACTATGTAATAAAGCAGAATCAGGTCAATTAATAGGATATGCTGATATGGGATATTTTATAAAGATCTCTAAATCAAACAAAGTGATCGTTTCTAGAAACGTAATCTTCATAGAAGAACCTGAAAAATGTATTAAAGAGACCGAGCACTCTAGTGAAAATTTAACACTCAATGACCAGTACGCAACCTTTAATACCGAAAACCCTCTCATAAATGTTGATGATAGTATTCACAATAATGATGAAATGTTACAGCAAGAACAATTTCACACGCCGGAACAAATAATTAATCCACNTTTTTTTTATATGGTTCAGAATCCACTTCCCCAATTATTATTTATGTTGCAGATCTGTAATATTATATGTGTAGGTATAAACCTGGCGCCAGGGAGGGTAGTGTAGATATAAGTAGTATATAAATATTATCGATTAATGTAGGATGTACTTGATATATTTTGTAATGAAATAATTATCTGATTTTTCAGTTCCTAAAAATCAGGGAGGCATGTTGACTTATCTAAATCTATATCGTGCATCGACCTCAATGATTATGTAACTTTTCCTGTTTGTGAATCTTCAATCCTCAATATCGTTTTTGTCAGTTGCGTTGATAACCGCCCCAGCGATGGGCGACGAATAAACCAGTTCGTAAGCAGATCGTAATTTGTCTCCTTTTTCCTCATATTCCAACAACTGGGCGCAGCAAAATGATAGCATTTGACAGTTTTTAATCGACCTCCAAACAGGCCCTCCGAAGCTGAGGAGGCTAATATATCTCATAAATTGTAATAAAATAATGTACAAGAGCCGTATGGGGGACTTCACTATCACAGGTATAGCAATCCTGCGGACCCCAGCTGGTAGTCCATGCCTCAAAGGGGGCTTGGAGTTGGTCACCGGCTTTTAGGCGTAGGAATCACCCAAGAAAAGGGCAGACAGGGCTCTTAGTTGCAGTGAAAGCAACCTGTCTAGGAGAGGCAACTCCGAAATCAAACTCTGGTCCTCCAGGTTGGGGGTTGAGGCATCGGGCTGACTCCTCGATACTCATAAAAAGTAAATTGTCAAAAACCCCAAATCGAGCCTCGGTATCAATGGAATTTTACGGAAAAATCGACAAAAGTTACGGAAATGGACCCTTTTATTTGGAACTTGGAATGTGCAAGGCATTTCCAAGAAATTGACGGAAGTGGTGTCGGAGATAGAAAGTCGCGACGTGGATTTGGCTGTTTTGACAGAAGCAAAAAAGAAAGGGCGAGGATCTGAGAGTATTGGAAATTACGATTTGTTTTACAGTGGCGTGCCGAAGGACCAACGTGCTCAGCAGGGTGTTGCAATCCTTGTCCGTAAGAGTCTGCTTAAGTGCGTGAAAACGTGGGAAACGATTAGCCCCCGTATGATCCGGATGAACCTCGTTGTGTTTGGACATATGATGACTGTGCTAGAGGTGTATGGAGTCAATGACGACTCAACTGTCGCAGTGAAAGACCAATTCTTTGAGGAGCTTGATGAAGAGATTGAAAATATTGGACATAGTAGAGAAATCGTTGTGTTGGGAGACTTAAATGGGAGAACAGGTCGTCAGCTTAATAGTAAAATCGTAGGACCATTCGGTGAGGCTACATTGAATGATAATGGCAATCGTATCATTGACGTTTGTGAGCAAAGAGGTTTAAAAGTGCTCAATGGGTTTTACCAACACAAGGATATACACAAGTTTACGTGGGTCCAGCCTACGCGGGGTTTACAGTCTGTCATCGACTATGTGATAGTAAAGCAAGACACCAGCTTAAAGGTACAGCAAGTTAGAGTGTGGAGAGGTCTTTCCTGCGGCAGTGATCACTACTTCCTTGGGGCGGCCATATAGCTTTCCCTGTGAGGGGCTGCTATGAGAAAGAACAGGCTAACACAACTGCAGACTTTGCCACAAGAGGACCGTATAAGGCTTGTGAAGTATAATATCGAAAGTCTGCAGCATCCAAGTGTTAAGGCACTCTACGGACGGCGATTGGACGAGAAGTTAGGTGAAGCAAGAAATAGTGATACCGAAGGCCAGTATCAATTTTTAAAGGATTGCATTCATTCGGCAGCAATGGAAGCTCTCGGCGTTTCGGATAATAATGGAAAATCCAAAGAACAACCTTACTGGTGGGATGAACAGATAGAGAGTGAGATTAAGGATAAGCGTGAAAAATATCATCGGTTCCTTTCTTCGAGAAAGGTTGAGGATAAGACGTCCTACAGGCACGCTCAGGCTAAGGTCAGGCAGCTCATTACGGAGAAAAAGAACGAATCGTGGGAGAGAAGTTGTTCTAGGTTGGACGCCTATCTTGGAGGAAGGAAAAGCACCGAGAGCTGGAAGTTGTTGAAAGGGCTACGCCGGGACATGAAGCGCGACATAATATCTCCGATATCAGTTGAAAAACTAGAGGACCATTTTAAAAATCTTTTGACAGAGAGGCGACCGGAGTTTCAATACGAAATCACAAAAACTGAGTGTATTAACAACGTGGAGGCCCACCTGGAGGATGTGGTAAAAGCAATTAGGGGTTTAAAGAATTGCAGGGCTCTTGGCCCGGGAAATATACCGGCACAGTTGATCAAATGTGGAACTGGCAAGTTGTTTAGGCGCTTAAGGGACTTGATTCAAGATTGTATTGCAACTGGTAATTTTCCGAAAGAATGGAAAGAATCTTGGGTGACAGCGTGGTATAAGGGGAAAGGCAGAAAGGACGACTGTGATAACTACAGGGGCTTATCAGTCCCAGGAACGCTGAGCAAGATATATGGCAAGAGTCTGAAAGCAAAGATCGAGGAGGAATGGAAAGAACATGAAGCGGAGGAGCAAGCCGGTTTCAGAGCAGGGAGATCAACGATCGATCATTTATTTACCATCACCCAAGTGATCGAAAAGAAAATGATGGTGGGCCAGGGGTTGCATTTGGTGTTTGTGGACCTGCGGAAAGCCTACGATAGTGTGCCGTTAGTGAAGCTTTGGGAAGCCTTGAACAAAAGTGGTTTTAGAGGGGGGTTGGTGAATGCCATTAAGGAATTTTAAAATGGGACGTATGCTAGGATTAAAACACACGGGGGCTTATCCCCCGGATTTTTTGTAACTAAGGGATTAAAACAAGGATGTTGCCTGTCGCAAACCTTGTTTAAAATTTATCTGGAAACTGCATTGAAAGAATGGAAGAGGAAATGTGCAAATATGGGCGTTCCGCTGGAAGATGGTGGCACACTCTATACTCTATGCTTTGCTGATGATCAGGTGGTGGTGGCGCAAGACGAAGAAGATGCAGATTACATGACACGCAAGTTAGTGGAGGAAAATCGAATATGGGGCCTTGATGTTAGTGTCTCCAAAACTGAAAAATTGGTTATTGGTGGTGATTCGCAAGGTATAGAGTTGGAGGATGGCCGGTACATCAACGGATGTGAAGAGTACAAATACCTTGGAGTATGGCTGACCCAAGATGGGAAGTTTGATCGGGCCATCAGAGAACGTAATGTGCAAGGAAGAAAAGCCATCGCGATGTTAAACGAGGTTCTCTGGGATCAGAGAATCTCGAAGGTAAATAAACGGAGAATTTACAGCGCCATCGTGAAGAGCATAGTTACGTACGGGAGTGAGGTGTGGCAATGAGGCAGTTCGGCTGGTGAGGGATTGGCTTAAAAGCTATTGCACTATATGTAAAATTTCACCAGAAAAATGATGAGCACAATAAAAAGTTTTGAAAAAAATTGCTAAGGGGAGAAAATGCGATTTTAAAATCGTGCCCCTCAAAAACGTTATTTGAATCCGGGCCGTGGCGCGAACGCCGATTTGTGACGTCACACTTTAGGTGACCACCCTTGGTTTATTCCGAGTTAGTCCGAACAATATGGCTGCTGCTCGGTTTGTTTATTTAGCGAAAGTTTCTAGCTGCACATTGTGATTTAGTGGTAAAATTTGACGAGAAATTTGTTGAAACATTTGGTTTCGTCACAAATTAACTCTTTCTTGATGAAACAAGGCGTTAAAGTTCGCGAAATTTATTCACCAGGCGACCGCGAGTGAGCATCGGCTATCGGGAACGACGGGCTCGTAAACAAACGAAGATTGATAACAGGAAGGATCCAAACAACTCGGAATCTTTTAATTTTCTTTACCTTTAAACCATTTCTGACTTCTACAAAGCATCTGACAATCAGTTTTATCGTATTTTACAACCTGGAGCTAGAGTCTATCGGCTCATTGTGATGTGTATTCAGAGCATTCTGAAACAGAAAGTCAGTTCTCATAAGTTCACACCCAGACATTCTTTTCTTGGATCATTCGCTTTTCATTTTCGCCTCAAATCGAGTGCTTTGTAGTTGCCTTATCTGAAGTATGTGGTTTTGAATTCATACAAGAGTTTGAAGTTCACCTTTTTTTAGCATTAAAGCCTGTTGAGCCCTCAAACTTTACCGATATGATTACCTACAGTTCAAGGTTCCTCTGGTCCGTACCAAGTGATTACACATCAAAGATGTGTCTTGTGGTTCTTCAAATTAACAGTTCAGAAGTAAATTAGAGACTACAGTAACTTAATCCACTCCTGCTCTTTCCTTCAGTGTTTGTTCGTGTCTGTTCTTTATGCGTTACCACTCTAGTGCATACACCGGTAATGTAGGTTAGTTAGGTATTATCGCATATTTTCTACTAGCAGTACCTTCTCTTAAGCGTTGTAATTTAGCAAAGAAATTCCACCAGTTGCAGAAAATTGTGTGCGTAATGAATAAGTGAATATGAATACCTCCTTTTGGTGACTCAAAGTTTCTCAGATCCGTCTCAAGGAGGTTTTGCAT